ACCCCTACCTACCCCCCCCACTCCCACTTTCCCACCCTCAAAATTCCCACCCCCTGGGGCATCCAGGCTTCATGAGGTCAAGGATCTCATCTTCCACCTATGCCCAGCAGGGCCCTCCAGTCTTACATATTCAGCTGAAGCCCTGGATCCCTCCCTAAGTGCTCCCAGGCTGGTGGTTTAGACCCTGGGAGCCGTGGTTGGTTGGTATTGTTGCTCTCCTCATGGTGCCACAAACCCTTTCAGCTCCTTCAGTCCTCACTCTAACTCCTCCATTGAGAACCCCATGATCAGTTCAATGGCTAGTTGTGAGCATCTGCCTCTGAATATGTCAGACTCTTGAAGGCCTCTGAGGAGACATCCATATCAGGCTCTTATCAGCATGCGCTTCCTGACTTCCACATCAGCATCTACCTTTGGTGACTGCACATGGGATGGATACTCAGGTGGAAAGGTCTTCAGATGGCCCCTCCTTCAGTTTCTGTCCCTCACTTTGTCTCCATATTTGCTCCCTTGAGTATTTTGTTGCTCCTTCTAAGAAGAACTGAATCACCCCCACTTGGTCTTCCTTCTTTATGAGCTTCATGTGGCCTGTGAGTTGCATCTTGGGCATTTCAAGGTTCTGGGCTAATATCCGATAATCAGTGAGTGAATACCATGTGTGTTCTTTTGTGATTGGCTTACTTCACTCAGGATTATAATTTCTAGTTCCATCCATTTACCTAGGAAAATCTCGAATTCATTGTTTTTAATAGCTGAGTAATACTCCATTGTGTAAATATACCAGATTTTTTGAATCCATTCCTCAGTTGAAGGGCATCTGGGTTCTTTCCAGCTCCTGGCTATTATAAATAAGGCTGCTATGAACATAGTTGAGCATATGTCCTTGTTATATGTTCGAGCATCTTCTGGGTATATGCCTAGGAGTGGTATAGCTGGATCCTCAGGTAATGCTATGTCCAATTTTCTGAGGAACCGCCAGACTGATTTCCAAAGTGGTTGCACCATCTTGCAGTCCCACCAACAATGGAGGAGTGTTCCTCTTTCTCCACACCCTTGCCAGCATCTACTATCACCTGAGTTTTTAATCTTAGCCATTCTGACTGGTGTGAGATGGACTCTCAGGGTTGTTTTGATTTGCATTTCCCTGATGATTAAGGATGCTGAACATTTCTTTAGGTGCTTCTCGGCCATTCGAGTTTCTTCCGTTGAAAATTCTTTGTTAAGCTCTATACCCCATTTTTTAATAGGGTAATTTGGTTGTCTGGAGTCTAATTTCTTGAGTTCTTTGTATATATTGGATATTAGCCCTCTATCAGATGAAGGATTGGTAAAGATCTTTTCCCAATTTGTTGGTTGTTGTTTTGTCCTATTGACAGTGTCCTTTGCCTTACAGAAACTTTGCAATTTTATGAAGTCCCATTTGTCAATTCTCGATCTTAGAGCATATGCCATTGGAGTTCTGTTCAGGAACTTTTCCCCTGTGCCCAAGTATTCGAGGCTCTTCCCCACCTTCTCTTCTATTAGTTTCAGTGTATCTGGTTTTATGTGGAGGTCCTTTATCCACATAGACTTGAGCTTTGTACAAGGGGATAAGAATGGATCAATTTTCATTCTTCTACATGTTGTCCTCCAGTTGAACCAGCACCATTTGTTGAAAATGCTGTCCTTTTTCCACTGGACAGTTTTAGCTCCTTTGTCAAAGATCAAGTGACCATAGGAGTGTGGGTTCATTTCTGGGTCTTCAATTCTATTCCATTGATCTTCCTGCCTGTCTCTGTACCAATACCAGGTAGTTTTTATCACTATTGCTCTGTAGTACAGCTTGAGGTCAGGGATGGTAATTCCTCCAGAAGTTCTTTTATTGTTGAGAATAGTTTTCGCTATCCTGGCTTTTTTGTTATTCCATATGAATTTGAGAATTTCCTTTTCTAACTCTGTGAAGAATTGAGTTGGGATTTTAATGGGGATTGCATTGAATCTGTAGATTGCTTTTGGCAAGATGGCCATTTTTATTATATTAATCCTGCCAATCCATGAGCATGGGAGATCTTTCCATCTTCTGAGATCTTTTTCAATTTCTTTCTTCAGGGACTTGAAGTTCTTGTCGTACAGGTCTTTCACTTGCTTGGTTAGATTCACACCAAGGTATTTCATATTATTTGCAACTATTGTGAAGGGTGTCATTTCCCTAATTTCTTTTTCAGTCTGTTTATCTTTCATGTAGAGAAAGGCTACTGATTTGTTTGAGTTGATTTTATAACCAGCCACTTTGCTGAAGTTGTTTATCAGGTTTAGGAGTTCTCTGGTGGAAGTTTGGGGGTCACTTAAGTATACTATCATATCATCTGCAAATAGCGATATTTTGACTTCTTCCTTTCCTATTTGTATCCCTTTGACTTCTTTTTGCTGTCTAATTGCTCTGGCTAAGACTTCCAGTACTATATTGAATAGGTAGGGGGAGAGTGGGCAACCTTGTCTAGTCCCTGATCTTAGTGGGATTGCTTCAAGTTTCTCTCCATTTAGCTTGATGTTGGCTACTGGTTTGCTGTAAATTGCTTTTACTATGTTTAGGTATGGGCCTTGAATTCCTGATCTTCCCAAGACTTTTATCATGAAGGCATGTTGAATTTTGTCAAATGCTTTCTCAGCATCTAGTGAGATGATCATGTGGTTTTTTTCTTTGAGTTTGTTTATATAGTGGATTACATTGATGGCTTTCTGAATATTGAACCATCCCTGCATTCCTGGGATAAAACCTACTTGATCATGATGGATGATTGTTTTGATGTGGTCTTGGATTCGGTTTGCTAGAATTTTATTGAGTATTTTTGCATCGATGTTCATAAGGGAGATTGGTCTGAAGTTCTCTTTCTTTGTCGTGTCTTTGTGGGGTTTGGGTATGAGTGTAATTGTAGCTTCATAGAACGAATTGGGTAATGTTCCTTCTGTTTCTATTTTGTGGAATAGTTTGAAGAGAATTGGTATTAGGTCTTCCTTGAAGGTCTGGTAGAATTCAGCACTAAAACCATCTGGTCCTGGGCTTTTTTTAGTGGGGAGACTTTTAATGACTGCTGCTATTTCCCTAGGGGTTATGGGACTATTTAGATGGTTTATCTGCTCCTGGTTTAACTTTGGTACCTGGTATCTGTGTAGGAAATTGTCCATTTCATCCAGGTTTTCCAGTTTTGTTGAGTATAGGCCTTTGTAGTTGGATCTGATGATTTTTTTAATTTCTTCAGTTTCTGTTGTGTTTTCAAACTGACATTGAATTCTTAATTGTTTGGCCAGTTTGTGGTAAAGGCTTGTTTTTGCTATCCCTGGATACATAGCCCCAGAGAACTTAGTAAAAATGCCCAATGCCACCTTTACTTATTCCAAAATTCCAGGAAATTCTGATGTGTACTAAAATCTGGGTCCACAGATCAGATTTAGCTTTTGCAATTATAAAAGAAAATGTGGTAGTCAAAATTACTACATTGCTGTTGTTAATGCTGTAGCTAGGGAGATCTTGGTTTGTACCATATACATTTATATATAATATATATTATGCATAATGTATAAACATTTAAATGTATATCTAGCTATATACATTATATAGATATATAGACATTAAAAAGTTTTTTTTCAGACAGACTCTCATATAACCTAGGCTGGGCTCAGACTCAGTTCTCTGCTGCCCAGTCCTGAGTACTGGGATTATAGGCATGTGACACCAATGGCTTAATGTATTCAGTATCCTATGGCATCTTTAAAATATTATATTAAGCAAGTTAGCATTGCTGAGCTGTAGTTTCTTCATTTATAAAATATTACCCATCATATAAATTGTGGGTCACAGTTGTATTGAGTACTCAGTCAGTACTGATTTGAAAACTCTATAAAACTCAAACTTAGGAGGTAAGATAGGAGCCCAAAGCAAATTTCCTTTTGAGAGAATTATGATTTTCAGTGAAAGAAAAATCAAGAATAATGCACCCACTCTAGGTTGCAACAGAAATCCTTCTAGAGGTTCCATATAACCTTGAGTGATTTCACATAATTAAAGATATTATCTGTTTTTCTTTTATTATATAGTTTTTCTTTTTTTAAAAGCCATAAAAACTTCATCCTTTGAGTGTATGAAAGGTATCCTTAACGTGGAGAAGTTACAGTGTTTTGCACTGAGATATTCTATAGACAGTGTGCTTTTTTTTAAAAAAATATATGCTTTAGATATTAAAATATTTTAAGATAGGTAGTACATTCTAATCATTCAAAATTAATAGAAGAAAATAGTGAAAAAAGTTTATCCCTGCTTTCAACTGACCAGCTACTTTTCTTAGTTTCGGGTTTATCCTTGAATTTTCCTGGTCTGAATGTACAAAAGTTGTGAATAATTATTTGCTCTTTACCACAGAAGATAATACTCCCCAGCCCACATACACACACTGGAGGTATGTGTTCAGCACTGTACTTTTTTTTAATGCTATCATTGTACTTTAGATTCTTAGATTTCTTTTTTTTTTAATAATTTATTTATTTTTTTCAAATCGTAATTTTTACTTATTCACACAGGGGTTATAAACACAAAAAGGCAGGACAAGGGGAAGGGGATGACACTGGAGCGTGGGTGTTCAGGGGGAATGCAGATATCTTTCAGAACAGGGTATCGACTGGGTGAGGGTTCAGGGGA